TTCGGATCTATGGGGTTATCGTCATACATTGGAAATTCACCAAAAAAACGCAAGATAATAGAAGTTGAAACAATCTTCCAAATTAGCTTCTATAACGAGGATCGAGAATAAATGCAATACCATAAATATGGGGAATATGCGCATAATATTTTAAAAACTTTTCCTTCATATAATCACAAAAATAATGAACGAAAACGGCATTCTCAAATTCTTTAAAAGCACCAGCGAGATTAACAGCTTCACGAATAAATTGGTTTGCGGTAGGTTTATAAACATGACTAAAAGTTTCAGTAGCATTAAAAAAAACATTACAAATTTTTTCGCAAGTGTCGATCTCAGCCGCGTTTATAATATAGTTATCATGTTCTTTTAAAAAAGCAGGAAAATGTTCTTTATATCTAAGAACAACTTTAAGTAATTTATAAGTACTATTCCAACGAATACTCAAATCTTTAGGAAAAGCAACATATCTCACACCTCTTTCAGTCAAATAAGTTTGCCATTTTAATCTAAGTTGACCATTACCCCAAATACGTCTAATCCCCCCCTTGATTACCTGCATGGAATCTCCTAACGCTTTTAAACTGTGTTGCACACATAAATTTATAACATGGCATGCACACCGTTGATGAAAAAATCTACCCATCAAAGTATTGGCACCACACAACTCACGCAATCTAGGTATAGCAGCAGTATTATTAGTAGCATTATCGAAACCAATAGCAAACACCTTATCAATCAAATTATACTCAATTAAAATACGCTCAATCAAAATATAAATATGTTCAGCAGTGTGGCGATCATTAAATTCACGAAAAGCAAGAACACGTTTATGCATATTCCAATCCTCATCAATATAATGTGCAGTCAGACCCAAATAATATAAATGATGAAAATCATCCTTCCATATGTCAGAACAAATAGTAACACGCCCATCAAAGTTTGCAAAAAAAATTGTAACCTTGCCTTTTCCGCATTATAAAGCCTTATTATTTCTTTCTTAACAGTTTTGCGACTATAATTTCTAAATTGAGGATTTAAACTACCTTGTGCATAATCTCTTAAAGCAAGACTTTCAGAAAACAAATAAGGCAAATTTTTTTCACAAATTAAGTTAGCCATACCAGTCAAATTTTGTGCATCATTGTAGGAGAAATCACCAAAAGGTTGAGAATTCGCAAACCTCGATATTTGACTTTGCTTCCCCGTTCCGCCGCCTAATTTTGCATACTCCACGGGGTGCTTTGCCTTATGATGCCTTGCGCGGATCCGTATCCGCCGGAGGTTCCCAAACTATAATTGTTGTTGCACCACTTGCAAGTTGCATGCCAATAGCCGGTTTGTGGGTCCTTCCATTTATCAAAATTATTTTTCATTAGTTCAGACTTACTTTTTTTTATTACCGGTGGCGGTTTGGGATGAGGCAGGCTCGTCGGCGTCGTGGCTGCCGACACCCTCCTCCTCGGCCGTCTCCGGTTCCAATTCCTCCGCATCTTCATCCTCAAGCTCCTCTTCGTCAATGGTCGTCGGCATTTGTTGTTGTTGTAGAAAGCGGTTATTATGTCGGGCCAATTCTTGTTGGAGTTGTTCTTCGGACATCGCATCTCCATCTCGCCTTTGGTAACCCGTTTCAAAATCATCTCGGCTTTGAGATGAAGAACCGGCAAGTTCTTTACCTTTGCGGGATTTCTTCCTCTCAATCTCGTTCCTTCGATTGCGTTGGAGGTTACCCAAATCAACCGAATATCTACCACCTTCCATCTTAAAAATGTAACAAATATTAATTGACAACAAATATAATAATGGATACAAAACTAATGCAACTAATTAAAACTATTTTAATTAATACTTCAAACTAATTTAGTGCAAAGTAGAATTAATGTGTGACTTTAAAATTAAAATTATACCAACTTTTGAAGTACTTTAATTTAGTAAAAACTACTTAAATAAAATGTTAAGTACTTTAATTAAATGATTGAACTACTATTTCTTCCTACAAATATAAATTGAAAATAAGAAAATGTGACTTTAACTATAATGACAATTAACTAGTTTATTGAAGTAGAGTTGTTTTAACAATTAATGAGAATACTAATGAAGTAAATAACTAGTATAATGAAAAATGTAACAACAATGCTAATTAACTAATTAACTAGTATAATGACAAATGTAACCAGAATGCTAATAAACTAATTAACTAGTATAATGAAAAATGTAACAATAATGGTAATGAACTAATTAACTAGTATAATGAAAAATGTAACAAGAATGCTAATTAACTAGTATAATACTACTTATAGTAAGTAATATATAATATAATGTTTATAGTATATAATATATAAGTATACTACTATAAGATGAGTAATACACTTATATTTTATACTTTAATATATAAAGTATATATTAAGTAGATGTAGAATGTATGTATTAAGTGGATATAATAATTGTATAAGAATTAAATATTAGAGTATAATGGAGTATAATAATTAAGAATTAAATATTAGAGTATAAGAAAATATGTATATATAAAATATAAGTAGAGAAGTAGATATTATTATGTATTAAGTATATAGTAATAGTTTATAAAGTATATTTAATACTTTATTATATAAGTAGAGAAGTAGATATTATTATGTATGTATGTATTAAGAGATATAAGTAGAGATTAAGTAGATAAGAAATATAAGTAATATAATATATGTATTTATAAGTAGATAATTAATATATAAGTAGATATAATAATTGTATAAGTATTAAATAGTAAAATAAAATATAAAGGAGAATAAGAGAATTTGAGAAGATGAATATGGAGAATTGGAGATGAGTAGAGAGCAGGATTTAGGTAGAATTGGAGAAGAGGTGTGAAAAAATGTTTAAAATTAGGAGTATTTATAGGTTTTTTTTAACCCCCACCCCCCACCCCCACCCCCCCAAAGGCCCCGGACCCCCCCTGGTACCCACCCAACGGCTATATAGCCGTTTGGGAAGTGGCTGTTGAGCCAAAAAGATTTTTTAAAATTAAAAGATTCTTTTTTTAAAAAAAAAATAGGACCGTTAGGCCCGGGCCCGGGCCCGACCCGGCCGGGCCACCAAAACCAACACCCGAGCCCGGACCCGCCACCCCCACCGGTTCGGTGCCCGAACCGGACCCGAGAACCGGGCCGGTTCCGGGCCCGTACAGTAACGGGCCGGGCCGGTCCCGGGCCGGGCGGCCCGAACCGGGTCCAAGCCTATGGAGCGCTGGAGTGTATTATCTAAAAAAGTAAAGGGTGCCAAAGCCCAATTGACTACATTCGATTGATACTTTCTGCATATACTGTTAAAAATTTTGTTCTTGCTGAATAGAGTACCAGTTTAAAGAACTACTTTCCTCTGTACTTGTAACCATTTATAGTATACAATGAACATAAACGAGTTCTAGAAAAAAAACCTTCGCCTTAGTGTAGAGTTTATTTTCTAGAACTAAAAAGTAAAGGCTGCCAAAGCCCATTTCACTCATCCAATTTACAGTATTTCATATGTAATGCAGTAGAAAGTCAACCTGCGCCAACTTCAAATCATATGCTCGTAGAAAATGTTGTAATAGCTAAGTACCAGTTCAATGAACTACTCATGTGTTTTAGTTACAAATAATTATAGTACTGGTTCTTCTCTATTCACATTAACACAATAGAAACAAGTATTCACCTCTAAAAAAGTAAACTCAGTTAGGGTGTTATGCAAAATGTAAATTGATTTAAAAGATATTGCCTTCACTATTTTTTTATGAACATTTATTAACACAACGCCCAAAGAATATGTGTTTTCGGTTAATTTTCCTGATACTTTTCTTAACAGTTTACCTACTACTTCTGAATAGTACGAAGTATATCTGAATAAGAGTGCAATCATACCACCACCATTCAATATTAACCAGTTCTTTCTTTTTCGTGACAACATTCACAAAATGCCTAGATTATAATAACAACTCCTACTATCAAGTGTAGAAACTAGAAATTCAATTTTTAGGAGCTACATACCTTTTCCTTCAATTTTTTTTAACCCGGAATACAAATCACCAAAATCAGTGAGGCAAATGATGAGGAACATTTGCCAGATTTTATTAAAGTAAAAAGAGAGTACAAAACTGAGAGGGGGACCGGATCAAAACCTCTCGAGAAGAGGCATACCTCTTCAAAATACAACAAATGAAAAAGAAGAGGAATAAATTAGAGGGGACTAGGCCTGATCCAATTTATTCAAAAATAAAAATACAAATAAATGCATGAAAATAGATAATACGGATTATATGAATCAGGAAATGTCTTAAATAGGAGTAAAAACGTTTTCAAATTCCAAAATAGGACCATCATGTTTTTTATTTCTTGAATAGGAGTTATCTGCCATGTTTGAAAAAAATGTCATGTTTAAAAGTTAGTGATGCTAAACTTGGCAGAAATTTACCCCTATTCAGAAAATAAAAAAAAATATGATAATCCTATTTGGAATTTCAAAACGTTTTTAGTCTCATTTAGAGAATTCTGTTTATATGAATCTGAAATGAGGCAGACTGAAAAAGTCCAACATGCGGAGTATATCTTTTTCTAGCTTCATGCGGAGAATTAGGGTGCGCAGTCCAGTTGCCCTTATATAGTGGTGGCTTTATAACAAGGATTTACGTGCATATGGAACTACTTCTGGGGTCCAAGTACATCATTTCTAGAGTGAGGTTTCAATGTTGGCACACTTTGGCTCATTTAAACATGTAAACTTTTGGGGGTTAGTTATTAACAAATGCCGAATTATATACACTACATTTTCTTCAAATATTTAGGCAACTTTCTAGCAGTTTACCTCAAGCAAAACATTCATCTTATAAGGCTAGATATATTTTATGGGTAACTTTATGTTCTTCGTTATATTTCATAGAAGCCGGCAAAGTGGTCTTGTACCACTTATTACATGTACCACTTATTACATGTTGACATTCCTGGACTGATGAGTAAGTAAGAAAATGGTTCTGGCCCAGTGGAGAATTAGGGTGCGCAGTCCAGTTGCCCTCCCATTGAAAGTCATGAAACTCATCTTCTCAATTAAGCATGTCCACTTACCGACCACCTCACTGTCTAAGACATAGGAGATGATGCTTAAAAGCATCCGTTTCCACCTGGAAATCGACAAACCCAGCCTCGATAATCCATTCCGTCGCCCTGACCATCACTGATAACTCAGCCTCATCACTGGAGCTGGCTTGAATTACAAACGTAGCTGTACACAACAAATCTCCCTGTTGATTCCTATGAATCGCGCCACCCGCAGCTCTGTCTGGTAAGTACGATGCATCTACATTAGTTTTAGATTTTGTTTCGGCTTCACACAACGAACTATTTTGAGAAGAGAGCCTTTAAATCTGAAATTCATAGGAATTAGCTGCTCTTCAAAAAGGAAATTGTCAATAGTCCGGTTCTTCATCTTCTACTCGAAATGGGTCGGAGAAACAAAAAAACTAGAACCTACTGGGAAAAACCGGAACCTCAACCAAAACAACCGAACAACAAGAAAATCAAAATCGAACTCAAAAAACCGAACAGAACCGTAGCTGTTTGGTTTCGGTTTTGGTTTTCACATCTCAAAACCGAACCGAATAAACCGAACTTTTTAAAAAGTTGTTATTTTATTTATTAATCATTAAATATAATATTTTTTTAGTTATTAATTCTTAATTGTAGAAAATTAATGTTTGATACTAGATTTATTATGATTTGCAAGATATTGACATTTAATATTTATGACTTAATAAAGTGAAACACTTGTACATACACTTAAGTCTATTGCTATAATACTGTTATGTTGATATTTTAAACCATAATTTACATTTTACTTGTTGTTGCATGACAATGATACTTTAATTTGTTCATATATTATATGTTATGTATGTTTGTTATCACATAATTTTTCATATAGAACAAATATGTATTAATATAAATAGAAAATAAACTATACTTTAAACAAATATGTATTAATACATATTTGTTATAACAAATATGTATTAATATAAACTATACTTTAAGCAACATAGCAGAAAATGTGAAATTTTAAAGCATAAATATATTTCTCTAAAAATAAAGTAGATTAAGTTATATATTAATAAAATGTTAACTTGCGAATACACGGTATATAATTCACAAATAAACTCATGCGTTTAATTAATTTAGAAAATGTTTAAATTGATATACATATGCTCTCTAATTCATTGCTTGGAAGGGCATTTGTTTCTTCTCTCTTTTTTAATTATGTATGTTTATGTATTGTATTACTATTAATAATAGTTTGATGTAGTTTTTTTTCCAATTACTATTTTTCTAATCAACAAAAATACTTTGGTAGCAACCAAAAAACCGAAACTGAACCGAAATAAACCGAACCGAACAAACCGTGGTTCCAATTTTTTGAACATAAAACCGAACCAAACCGAACCAAACTTTTTACTTTGGTTCGGCATTTGGTTTTAGGTGAAAACCGAACCGTTTGAACCGAACCCAGTCAACCCACCCCTATCTTCGAGATAGTAGAAACCCAATTCCAAGAGTAAAACTTAATTTGTTCAATAGCGAAATCAGGTGAAGGAATTGTACCCTTACCCCAGGTAAAACTGGTGTATATTTTCCAAATATGCCAACTTGACATTGCCAACTGATTATCGCAGGAAGATTATGACGAAATAAGTCCACCAGTTTCATTGACCCGGCTTCAATCCATCACGAAATGAGAATTTGCTTAATCGAAGCAGTGTAATTAGGTATAGGAATACCTAATATCCCCATAAAATAACTCCAAATCCTTTTAGAATAGACACAGTTGTAGAAAAGATGATTCATTGATTCTGAATGCTGCTTACATAAGGAACATCTGGATGGAACTTGCATAACTTATCTGTGATAGGAAGATATCCTTTAAGTAGCTTCCATTGGAAAAGATTTATCTTCAATGTTTGTTTTTATGCCAAGCATGTCTATAAGAGAATGTAGGAGTATCAAAATTTTCTTATCTCATTATATGCTGAGGCAAGAGTAAACTGACCATGTGTTTCAGGTTTCCAAGTTAATTCAAGATCAAGGCCAAATAGAGCACAGAGAAGAAGTTGTATCATGAATATGACAGATTCTGCGCCGAATGGGAGAGTCAGTAATCTTGGGTTGCATATTGTTACCTCTAGGATATCTCGCATGAATAAAAGAAGACCACGGAGAGGTATTGTTCTTCCATTTCCACCATAGTTTAATCGTAAATGCTTTTTCAATATCTTTTTCAATACCCAGGCCTCCCTCTTGAGTAGGGTAACACAGTTTGCTCCAACTAGACCAGTGCATCTTTTGCTTCCCATTTGAGGATCCCCAAAAGAAAGCTGACATTTTGTTTTCAAGAATCCTCACAACCGAGCTTGGAAGTGTATCTGCAGCTATGATGTGCAAAGGGATAGAATTTAGAACATGCTTAATCAGGATCAGCCTCCCTTCTTGAGATAAGTTTTTCTGCTTCCAAGTTGTTAACTTAGAGTCAAACTGAGCAATAATATCACCACAATATTGAATCCTATTTATTCCTTTATGAAGATTAACCCCTCAATACTTCACTGGAAGATTAGACCTCTTCATGCCCAGTAGTCTTTCAATAATCTTGCTTCTGGCTGTAGCATTTTTACCACAAATAAATTAACTTTTATCCAAATTCACTGTTTGACCAGAAGCTTTTTGATAAGAATCCAAAAATCTATTAAAGTTCAAAAGTGATCTTGATTGACCATTAATGAAGATTAAAAGATCATCTGCATACCCAAGATCAGAAACAGGATATCCAATTTCACCCATCCAATAAGGCAGAATATAACCCTGTTCCATTTGTCTTTTTAAACCCCTAGAAAATGCTTCAGATGCAAGAATAAAGAGAAATGGTGCAAGTGGATCCCCTTGTTTGACCCCCTTTTAGGCTGAAAATATCCTTGAGGAGTTCCATTAATCAAAATAGAAAAGAAAGTGGATTTCAGATTTGAGATAATGAGTGAAACAAAATGATCTGAAAATCCAAATTTGATTAGTTATTAGTATTTCCTGCTGGAATTCCCATGAGTTTACAAAAGCTTTGGCCATGTCCACCTTGATAACAACATTTGTACCTCGAGTCTTTTTGTCAATAGAATTGATCATTTCTTGAGCAATAAGGATTTGCTCAGAAATATGCATAAACCCCACCTGCTCCTGGGAAATCAGTTTAGGCAGAATTCTGAAAGTCTAGTAACAATGACTTTAGTACAAATTTTGCTTATAAAATTTAACAGACAAATAGGTCTAAAGCCAGAGAAGGTATTTGGATTTTCTTTTTTTGGGAATTAAGGCCACCAGAGTACTAGAAATTCCTCTTGGTGGAGGGATACCCAAGAAAAACTCTTGCACTGCTTTTACAACATTTGTCTCCACGATTGACCAACACTTCCTAAAAACTTTCCATTGTAGCCTTCAGGACCCGGGGCACCATTCTGATTGAGCCCCCAAACGGCTAGCTTAACTTCTTCCAGGGATGGAATTTGCATAAGCATGATATTATCCTCATGAGTCACTAACTGTGGAATATATTGCAGGATTTCACCAGTATCAACCTCAATTTCTTTAGAATAAAGATCAACATAGAACTTCTCAGCGGCTTTTCCAATTTCTTGCAATGTGTTATAAACCTTGCCTTTAGAATCCGTAATGGAATTTGTCTGCTGTTTCCTCCTTCTGATTTTGACATAATTGTGGAAGAAATGAGAATTAGAAGCTCCTTCTTTAAGCCATTTAACATGACCTTTTTGCTTCCAAAATTTCTTTTCAAGTTTGTATTTAGATAGTAATAGGGATTTCTTCTGGCACCAGTTCTCTCTATTACCCGCAGATGGGACCTCCTCAAACTCTGTTTCATCGTTAAGAACCTCCTCTTCACATACTTTGATATCCTCAAATATATTCCCAAATGTCTTTTTGTTCCATTCTCTTAGATCGTTTTTCAATCCTTGCAATTTGGTCACAAGTCTTCATTACACCACCAGTATGATGCCTTTCCTAGCTTTTTGCAACTGTGCCTAAAAAATCAGGATGTGAGAGCCATGTTCTGAAACTTAAAAGCTTTAGGACAATGATCAGAAGGAGCTCTATTAAGATGATTAATAGAGATCTGTTCTAAGGCATCAAATGAATTTATTATTAAATAAGCACCGATCTAATCTTCTCCATAAACGACCATTAGATCTCACCCCAGTCCACATAGACCACTTAGGTCCTGTGAAAGGTAGTTCACATAGACCACAAAAAGCAATACATTCATTAAATTCCGCCATCTGCTTAAGAAAATTCCAAAAAGGTCTTCTATCATTAACTGTCTTTTCTTTCAGTAATAACACCAAAACGCATCATTCAACTCAATAGTGTCTGGCACAATGTAGGAATGAAGAAGTGTAGAGCAGCAAAACCCACTACAAGCAAATTCATCGAGAGAAGTCAACCGTTGACATTCTTACAAATAATAACAATTTACCCAACGAAAACAACTGAGGCATACAATCTATGGTCCCATTAATGCATACAGCTGAAGGGAGAGCAGGAGCGCATCCAATAATATACTGGAGAAACTACTACATGGCAAAGAAGTTTTTTCACTGAACCCTACAGGCCATGCGGAATAAATGTCTGTCCAACAGAGCCTTCGGACATAACCCTTCTCACATTGCACTCAAACAACTTCAGATTTTCCCTCACATTGCTCATGCCTTTATTTCCTCTTTGCTTTTGATTTCCTTTTCCGCTGCATATTATACATAATACACATATATAAATACATATATATGTATATATAAGGTGAAATGATCAAACACTTGCTAAAGAAAGAACTAGTTATCAAATACTCTGTATGCTGTAAAAATCAAATTGAATGATTTATCAGTAAAAACATTTGCAAATAAACACACATCATAAAAGAAATTAAAGTGTTTCTTTACAGATCAGAAAACTTTAGGATAACTAAACTTTCAAATTGATGCATATAAATGCATTTGACAAATATCACATTACAATAAATTATAAATAAAATGGAAGGAAAAAACTAACCATAGATCCCTTTGAACTCTGTCCATATCCAGATGCAAATTCAGGTGAAAATGCAAATGAATTTATGGCTTCTTCCAAAGGTTTTACGGGAATGGCAAAATCAAACCCCGCATGTTGGAAGGAAATCAGCCCTACAAGTTGTCCAATAGCATCAAATATGGGACTATCACGTCCTTTCAATCCATAATTGTTTACAAAACTACACTCTGAATTTACTTGATTTTCAGTTGTAGCTCGCAATCCACGCATTTGAAGCAACCCTACATTCTCACCTAAACTCACCGGATTCACCATTTCAACCAAGTCCTTCACCCCTCTATAGGTATAGGTCAAATGCCCCACCAAAAGAATGAGAGATGTGGCATTTCTAAGATAAACCATAACATAGAAAACTTGCCCAACATTATCCTTTCCTATTTCTGGCGCAATTTTCCGTAATTAGATGTGTGATGTTTGCCTCAATGCGCCGGTTGGACTAAAGAATAACACAATGCACTATTCTGGTATGCTAATTGTGCTCCAACATAATCTCCATTTGCACTTCTGACATTAATTTTTGAAATTTTTTCATCACCTAAATAACTAGTAAGAATTAATTCATCTCGTCTAACACACACTAGTGTAATACTCTTCTTCAGTTGTATTAATCTTCGGGTTTTCCGTTTGATACATATCTTCTAAACAGTTTTTTTTGCATTTTATTATAAAAACCATTCATTTGTGAACAACGTAAGAGTGACCGTGCTTCAACCCCAGAAGAAATAAACTATGATGTCGCTAGTTAATTTTCATACTTAATCAAGTGCGTTAGTGACCAACTATAAACAATAACATGAGTAAGTAGCATTTGATATTTCATCTTATGTGTATACATATGCATAAGATGAATTATTAAATACTACTTAATAGCATGAAAATTATTTCTGATGTTACTGTTTGTAGTTGGTCACAATCGCACTTGACTGAGCATGAAAATTAAATGGCGTCATCACAGTTTATTTCTTCTGGCTTTGAAGCACGGTCACTTTTAAGTTGTCGACAAATGAATGGTTTTTTATAATGAAATGTAAAAAACTGTTTGGAAGATATGTATCACACCGAAATCCTGAAGATTTAATATAGCAAAAGAAGAGTATTATACTGGTGTGTGTGTTAGAGGAGATGAATTAATTCTTACTAGTTATCTGGGTGATAAAAAAATATCAAAAATTAATGTTAGAAGTGCAAATGGAGATTATGTTGGAACATAATTAGCTTACCAGAACACTATATTAGGTTATGCTTTAGTCCAACCATCGCTTCAAGACAACCATCACACTTTTAATTACATAAATTTTGCGCCAGAAATAGGAAACGATAATGTTGGGCAAGTCTTCTAAGTTATAGTTTATCCTAAAAATGCCACCTCTCCCATTCTTTTAGAGGGACATTTGGCCTATGCCTATAGAGAAGTGAAGGACTTTTGGTTGAAATGGTGAATCCAGTGAGTTTAGGTGAGAATGTGGGGTTGCTTCAAATGCGTGGATTGGGAACTACAATTGAGAATCAAGCAAATTCAGAGTGTAGTTTTGTAAACAATTATGGATTGATAGAGGGACGTGGTGGTCCCATATTTGATGCTATTGGACAACTTGTAGGGCTGGTTTCCTTCCAACATGCGGGGTTTGATTTTGCCATTCCCGTAAAACCTTTGGAAGAAGCCATGAATTCATTTGCGTTTCCACCTGAATTTGGACATGGACAGAGTCCAAAGGGATGCATGATTAGTTTATCCTTCTCTTTTATTTACAATTTATTGTAATGTGATATTTGTCAAATGCATTCATATGCATCAATTTGAGAGTTTAATGAGGATGTTTTTACTTGGACTATAATTTGTTGGTCTGAATTGGTCTGGTTTCTTTGTATTTTTATAACTATCCAAGTCTGGTCTGGGACAAATTACAGTCTAAGTAAAAACATCCTTATCTTACATGTTTCTGATCCGTAAAGAAACACTTTAATTTTTTTATGATGTGTGTTTATTTGCAAAATGTTTTTACTGATAAATCATTCAATTAGATTTTTACTACATACAAAGTATATGATAACTAGTTCTTTCTTTAGCAAGTGTTTGATCATTTCGCCTTGTGTATACATATATATGTGTATTATGTATAATATGCAGCGGAAATGGAAATCAAAAGCTAAGAGGAAATGAAGGTATGAGCAATGCGAGGGAAAACCCAAAGTCTATCTATATACAAAGCTAAGTGAAAATATTGGCCAATTTCCCGCTCAAAACCGTCCCATCAAATAAGTCACATGTTGCGTGTTGGAACTTCTAATACCCGATGGTTAACCCAGGGAATGGATAGATGATAAAGGTGTCTGTTTAATTTTTGTTTATACAGAGGAGGTCAAAAAGACTTCAAGAAAGATGGCACATGTTTCAATTCCCTTGCCGATTGTACATCTGCATCCACCATTCTTTGGCCATGGATTGATTGAAAGCAGGCCAGAGGTTTCCAGAGGAGGGCGTTATTAGAGCTGAGATGTGGTCATCCATTTTTATGGGTAATTGTCGCCAACATCTCGGTGCGTGCTGCCCTTTCAGCGTTTGTGACCACTAGGAACGAGATAGGAATAGGCTAAGGATATTTGGCAGGGACAACTAGCAATGACGTGTTCATCAATCGGCGATTGGTGATGTGTCACAGCTGCGACCACATCCGATTGTGCGCGTTCGATGGCAAGTGGACGGGGATTGTGTCCCCAACTTTGACGGAACTACTGTTTCAAATACCTAGCCAGCCTTAAACTGCAGCAAAAGGTTATTCAGATGGTCAGAAACAGTCCTTCATCGATTCCTTGAGCTTCGGGAACCATTTCAGTGACATGGGCAACACACAGAATGGTTGAGGAGTTAGCAAGACTACAAACAAGTTCTAATCAGGTCCAGGTTCACTCAGCTTCAGGTCTACCAAATTTAAGTATGAAACTTTAATTGCAAGGTTGTTGATTGCAATGTTATTTTCATCTGTGAAATTAAAAATGAATGATATGATACTGATCTTATTCATGTATCATTACAGCGTAGTACATATTACTAAATGCATATGGGCTTGAAGAAGAAGATGGATAAGGTTTCTTTGGGTTTGGGGCTTCTGGTGCCAATGCACGACCAGATTATTTTTGGACTAGGTATAACTGTATAACTGTATTCTTTTTAATATATACTCTGTATTAAGAAAACATCCTTATAGTTTATAGGTTAATCTCATTTTCAGTTTTGTTTGGTAGTTTTGTGTTTGTAATAATGTCTCTAAAGAGTTCATTTAGTGCTTTTAACTGTTTCAGAGAGGCTCACCTCAGCAGCTTGAAGATGTGTCACCTACATCTATCAATTTCTCAATTTCAGATGGAGAGTGAGCTATATTTTATTACAGGTTTGAAGATGTAAATATCAATTGATAACGTTTTAGAAGGATTTTGTTAAAAATAGGTGATTGAGATTGATCTTTGTGAAGTTGTTGTATTGATAGAATGAAAAAAAGTCACTCCATACATGTGTAATGTGTTTTATTTTTGACAAAGCTACTGCTATGTATTTAAATAACTCGTTATTTGTTTTCTAAATAAATTCTGGCGCGTTCATCATTTGGCGTCCGTGATTGCTGATGTGCCACAGTTGCGACCAGATCCAGCAATGGATGCTTGCACGTTCGATGGTGAGTAGATGAGGATTGGGTCCTAGCGTCAGCAGAACTACAGTTTCGGCTACGCCAACCAGTTTAAACCACAACTGGCGGTTATTCAAATGGTGAGAGGCGGCCCTTTCCTTGACTATCGTTCGAGCTTCAAGAACCGTTTCAACAACATTCGCAATACCAGGCAACACTCAGAAAAGTTGAGCAAGTTAGCAAGACTACAACCACGTTCCAATCAAATCCAGGTTCACTCAACTTCATGTATCCCAAACTTGGATTTGGAACTTTAATTGCAAGATTCTTGATGGCAATGTTATTTGCATTTCTGAAAATAATAGTGTATGACATATCCGCTATTGATCAATGAAGACACATACATTTTATAGATGTGCTTTCTGAACTACTGCAATAGGCTTCACCTCTCTTATAATTAGGGAATTATGTCAAAAGTGTAGCAGATCATATTTTTTAAAGTTGTATGTGTTTGGATCATCAATAGTTGTGCTCTTTCTTGCTACATGGCTCTTTCAAAGAGAACTTCTTGATGGCTGGATGAAGTAAATATAGTTGAGCATTGAGTAATTGAGGCTCTTTCAAAGTAGTTGTGCTCTTATCATTAAGTATAGCCCTGAGGCAGGTATTTCTCAAACAAAGAATGGATGAGAATACAAGAAAGGCATCTAATTTTCACTGTGTTGTAACTTATAATCATTGAGTAATTAATTTTGCTATATTGCTTTAAACATTGAACAATGCTGCTTTTATCTATCTTATATTGCTGTTTTTTCAAAATCAAGGGAACCCGGTAGGAGGCAGCGGCGGCGGTAGCTACTGTGGATAAATTTGATGTTATTAGCAAGGAGAAGTTGATGTTCATTTCTTTGTATTCCATGATATGGGGTGAAGAAAGCAGGTTTCCAATTTCGGAGAATCCTGAGCCTAATTTGAAAGAGCCTAAGTTGTAGTATTTGTTTTAATACTATGTATTAAATCAGCATAGTTATTTAAAAAGTGCGTAGTATTAATTTAACAAATACGTAGTATATGATTCTAAAACAAGAGTATATGTTCTTCAGCTGTCAAATATGATTGTTCCAACAGATTTTGTGTGGTTGGATCAAGATATCTTATCACCACTTGTGGAGAAGAAGCAACAATATAACTATGAGACCATGGACTTCTGGGAACAAATCAAAACACCTGGGATGTCTTTGAAGTGTTCCGGTCTCTACTTTTCTCAATTTAGATGCACATCTCCCCTTCTTTTGGCAAGCGGGGATGGCACAAAGAACATGTTGATCACTGACGATGTTACATTCACCCTTCTGTGAAAGTTCATTGACTTCAAAGATTGGTCCTAATGTTTAGTATTGGATCTCGTGCAAGGCTCATTGATGGTATTGTACTATTGTTCTTGATTATGTGGAAATAAAGGAAAATACTATTTTTGTTCATACTATTATTGGCTGGAAGTTGTCCTTTAGGGAGATGGTTTGGAGTTCATGTGAATCAGTGTCCATGGAACTATGGAACTATGGAAGACGAAGTGGCGGTAATAAATAACATAAAAAACAAGACCTCAAATCTTAGGGGGGTGTATTGTATTGGGATTTAGTGGCAAAATATTAGAAGTCCATGGACTTTAAAAATCTAGGTGTATTGAATATAGACTTTTAAAAGTCTATCAAAGTTTAGGTGTATTCAATTAGGCCTTTTAAAAGTCAATAAAAGTATGGGTGTATTCAAAAAATTAACAAATCTTGTGGATTTTAAAAATAGGGGATTCTCAAGGACTTTAGAACGACTCGTATAAATACCCATTCGACTGAATTGTCTCGTGCTCCACCCAAATATTTCACGCAGACTTTCTCCCCCATAGGGTTTTCACGCCTCTGCTCTCGTACGTCTCGCCCAGCTCGCCTCTTCTGTCCCAGGTATGTTTTGGATATCTTCTTCATACGTTTTTGGATATCTTCCCTCCTATTTCTATGTTTTGCTGCGTATGTATATCTTCCCTCCTAATACATATTCTGTGATTCTTCTATTTATATTCCTGCCTATTTCTATGTTTTGCTGCCCTCTGGAAATTAATGATATCATTATTCCTATGTGTGCTATATATTTATATGTATATGTATATGTATACATATGTATATTTATATAACAAGATCGAACTTAATGTTTGCCTCTCCACTATCTTTTTTCAAAAGACTAACAGATTGCAAAAGTGGCTCATCAACTTCATTATAGTGCACTGTAAATCAACCTCCACCATTCGGATATGGTCTCTTATGTATGTTTTTTTCAACTAAAAAAAATAAAAGCAAGAAGCCGACAGACAAGCCTAAAATGCGTAGTACTCTGTTCATAAGTAGGGAATGGCAGTTGAGCTTTTTTGTTTACCTTTTTTATTATTATTATTACTATTATAATTTTGTTGTTATTTGGGTTTCTATTTGCTTTTTGTACCCCTTTATATTTACAAAGTATACGTACGATCCAGTAGTAATTCGATCACTCCTATTATTGTTTTGAGAAAGAATTATGAACAGAGTACTACTACTGTTGCTGCTCTATTTGGTGGACAACCTAAGCAATCACAACTCGGCTAAGGACATTCCGTAGAGTATATAAAAATGTATTTTCTATTCCTGCCTATTATAGTCCATCCGATTTCAATATCTATTTTTTGTTTTATGTTTTTACTTTAAAATCATGGCGTGTGAGATTTTATATATATAAAGAGGACTGATTGATTTTTATTTAAAGGTGTGTTAACTAACACCACTAATTACTAAAGTCAAACGGTATGAGTGAGTTTGTCTTTACTGTTTGTGTGATTGGTTTTACATGTCTTGTAGATGGGTGATTCACAAGGTAATGCAAAAAAAAAAGGATTATAAAACTTGGACCATAGAAGAGAGTAATGTCTTGCTTCAGCTAATGGTTGAAAGTGCCAAACTTGGCCTTCGTGATATAAATGGTGTGATAAGTAAACAAATGGTAGAGACCAGACTCCTTCCTAAACTTAAGGAAAAGCTTGGTTATGAAATTAGTTTTAATCATTACCAAAGTAGACTCAAATGGTTTAAAAAACAATACTCCAATTACTCTCAACTTATGCGGCACAACTCTGGATTCGGATGGGATGCATCCACAAAGAAATTCACTGCTTCCGAAGAAGTATGGGCTGACTACCTGAAGGTGGGCATTTTTTTATTCATTTGTGTATCTATTTTTTAACATCATAATAACAAACTTTATATTTTTTATATATCAGTCACATAAAGAACATGCACACCTTCGATCAGAAACTTGTCCGGACTATGAGGATCTGAGAATCGCAGTGGGAAATGGAACTGCAACTGGGATGGGTGCAATTGGTCTTGGTGAAAATACAGATGCTACAGTGTTAGGAGTAATGGGATTAAATATATGGATGAAATAATGGCCGAAGATCCTAAAACATTTAGAAATGTATACAGAATGTATCCTAACATTTTTCAAAAATTATGTTGTATCCTAAGAAACAAAACGCCTTTAAGAGATACAAGATATATTTGTGTTGAAGAAATGGTGGCAACATTTCTACTTATTATCGGCCAAAATAACCGCTATTGTCAACCAAGAATGATATTTAAGCGGTCACACTTCAGCATTAGCAGAAGCTTCAACAAAGTATTGAAAGCGTTGAATACAATAGCTCCCGACTTTATGGCCAAACCGGAATCTGTACCACATGTCATAAGAGAGAGTACAAGGTTTTATCCTCATTTCAAGGTTAGTAATGCAAAACTTTATTGATTATCAAGGATGATTAATTAATATTTTTTGGTATTTTTTCGTTTCCTAATGCACTTAACCAATTTTACATGATTAATGATGATCAGTTAAATATTTTTTTGGTATTTCTTCTTTTCCTAATGCTAGGATTGCATCGGAGCAATAGATGGCACTCATATTCCAGCAATCGTACCTGGACGAGAAGTGAACAGCTATCGAAATCGTCACGGGACTATATCTCAAAATGTACTAGCTGCTTGCAACTTTGATTTGCAATTCATATATGTGCTTAGTGGTTGGGAGGGTTCTGCCCATGATTCAAAAGTGTTAAATGATGCAATTTCAAGACCAAATGGTCTTAAAGTTCCACCAGGTACACTTTAACATGTTTATCCAAATCTCTGTTACCAATTACTTATTGCATTGTATAATAGACTAATTGTGTAATGATTCAATGTCTAGGAAAATATTATTTGGGGGATTGTGGATTTGCAAATCGGTGTCAATTTTTAGCTCCTTTTCGAGGTACTCGGTATCATCTAAAGGATTTTGGTGGTGAAGGAAATCACCCTGTTAATGCGGTTGAACTATTCAATCTTCGTCATGCTTCTTTAAGGAATGTGATTGAACGGATATTTGGAATATTCAAGTCACGCTTCACAATCTTCAAAACAGCACCTCCTTTCTCTTATAAAACACAAGCAGAATTAGTTTTGGCATGTGCAGGAGTACATAATTTTCTTCGACGTGAATGTCGATCTGACGAATTTCCTCCGGACCCAGAAGAAGACCCACCTAGCGATGATGAGGACAATCTTGAATGGGATAATTTTCAGACACAAGATCAACAAAGGGAAAAGGCCAATGAGTGGAGGATGAATCTTGCTACTCAAATGTGGGAAGCTGCAGAAAATGAATAATTTTGATCCATAGTTCAGTAGCACAAGACGTTTGTTCCCATTTTGTGCATTGATGACTTTATTTTTTTTTTCTTATAATTTTTTAATGCTTATGCTTGACCTCATTCGGAATAGAGAACATTAGCTATTATATTTGACATTATTTGTCATATTTTCTATGTAGCGATTCTTATTTATTAAAGTTTGATTTGCTTTGTTAAAGTCTGATCTAGATGGATATGGTCTGAAATAAGTCCAAGTAAAAGTCTATGGATTTATTGAAATCCATAGAAGTCACTCATTTAAAAGTCTACAGATTTAAAAGTCAGCGGATTAAAAGTCTATGAATTTAAAAGTCCATAGACTTTTTAAAAGTCCATAGACTTTTTTAGAAGTCCATGGATTAAAAAAAAGTCCACCACAATCCATATTGAATATACCCCCTTAGTGTTCAAATGGATATCATACTATGATGTCCAGAGAAAAATGCTCAACCAATCAAGCTATTCATCGCCAACAACTGGAATTGTATCCGTGTTTATCACCTTTTTACGTTTTGTAAAAATAAAAACTATGGATTATAAAATAAACTTTTAGAGAAAGTTCCGTCCAATTTTTGGATTTTTAAAATTTTTTAGTTGCATTCATGTACTCTATAATAAAAGAAATAATGGCCCCAAAATTACACCCCATGTTTCTAAAGACAAAAGGGTGACTCTTTTTTTAGTTTTCAAAAAACTTACCCAATTTAAAAATGGGGTCCAATACCGTTCAAACGGCCCAATCGCGCGTTATTTCCTCCGACCTCTGTTTGTTCCGCTCTATCATCTCATTTGGCGTTCGAACTCTAATCTCTGTTCTTAGTTTTCTCTGGAACACACCATGAACAGTCCTAAATTCGTCCTTCTCTAGCATTCCCTCTTCGTTGAAATCGCTCATCTCCAATCTCGATTTCAGATTTCCTCTTTCTCAAGACAAAATCTGAAGGTATTTTTCTAAAATTCGGAGTTGTGTGGTCAATTTTGTATGCATGTATAGATATAACCGTATATATATGAATAATCCAATCTGTAATTTGAAAGCCTAGAGAGCTCAGTACTCAAGACCGTAGGAGAGTACGGTAATGGTACATCCGTACTTGAAATGCTCTAATCATGGTGTTTTCTTCCTTTTTTTTGCTTTGAATCTTCTTACACATAGTGTTTTCTTCCTTTTTGACCTTATACAGTATACACACATTGAAATGTTTTTTTTTTTTACTTTTAGAAGTCAGAATATCCGTGTATGAAAATAGGGAGTATAATTGATTAGTGCTTTTAGAAGTATGTTTGATTGGTGTACTGCTACTAAAACTTTATTCTCTCTTCTTCTTCTTTTATTTGCTTTTTTTTTTTTTACTTTGTTTGGCTTTTACAGATCATTGCTTTTATAAGTACATTTGATTATCATCATTCAAAAAAGAGTTTCCATGCTACAGATTCTCGAATCCTTTGACTATAATTGCCTTTTGAAACTAAATATCATATAATTAGTAGTTTAATGAATGTATTCTCTAAATTGGTTAAATACTTGTTTCTTTCATTTAGCCTATATTGTTTTTTGTTTTTAATTTGCTTTTTATTGTTAGATGTCTGACAGTGACTTCACATCTCCTGTACAAACACCGTCTCGACGTTCATCCAGTCGTCTATCATTGACTCATAAGTCGAAACCGGTAATTCTTCATGTGAATACATTACATCCCCTTATTTTGTATATGGGGTTTTGTTTCTCATTCATTTTTTAATTTGTCTTCTTTCCAGACCTACACAAGATTGGTGGACAAAGATGTTGTTTATCAGGACTTAAAAGTTAGAAGAGTTAATACATTTTCTAGAATTTCAGATTCAATAAACCTTGTCAAGTCTAAACTACTTCCAGATGAACTTGCTTTGTTTAGAAATTCTGTCTTTGGAAAGTTCTTAGATGTTAAGGAGATGTCGTGTTGTTGCCAACTCTTGCATTTTCTTATAGGAAACTTAGTAGAATTTGAAACCAGCTCAAATGCTATGCATTTTGAAAGTGAAGATAGGGTCATATCATTCTCTTTTTCTGACTTCTCTCACATTATGGGGTTCACTATCACTGATAACGTCCTTGATGTTCAATCTGCTCACTCTGAGAAGGGTCATATTTGGAAAAAGTACTTTCCAAGTTTTAAGAAAAACGTAAAGCGCAGGGAAATTAAAATGGTATTTCAGTCTATTCAAAGGGGTCAGGAACCACATGAGGACATCCTTAAGCTTTCCATACTCTATGTTTTATCACATGCATTTTTGGCTGCTGAACCTCAAGTTTCATTTACTCCTCGTTACATAAATCTAGTTGATGATATACCTGCTTTCAATTCCTATCCATGGGGAAGGATTATTTGGGATGATATGGTTAGTTATTTTTCTGCTGCTGTGAAGAGCATTTCATCAAATCCCTCACATTACAATGTCTATGGTTGTGTTCTCGCTTTACAAATTTGGGCTTTTGAGTCATTTCCTGCGTTACAAATCCTTGGTATAGCTCGTCTAATAGACCCTGATGCTGCCCCATGTATTCTGAAATGGTCCTCATCTGCTAAGCCATCAAGTGAATCTTTGAAGGAGTTCATTTTCAGTAATAAGGAAGTAAGTTGCTTATAGCTCATACTCATTTGCTTTATCCCGCTTTCAATACTATATTTATGTAGTAATTGTTTTAAATAAAATTGTGTTTTTCAGTTCATTTTCACTCCCATTTCACCCTCTAGCCCTGCTCTCGTGCAAGTCAATACTCGAAAAGTTTCTTCTAGGAAGAAGAAGACATTACTGAAACCTCAGCATGTTCAGAGCTCTACATCAGGAAGAGAAGCTACAAGCATTGATGCTCATGATGCTGTTGGACATTCAATTCCAAGGCACAATGACTGTTTTGGTGAATCAACTTGCTTACTTCTGGAGGCTAGGATTTCTGTGCTCGAATCAGAAGTTGGAAAGCTCAGAATTATAGTTTCAGACTTTGAAGAAAAATTTATGCATCAACAACAAGCAATTGATCATCTCAGAGCACTTGTTGACATTTCTCATCATAATGTCACTGCTTCTCTTGTGCCGAGTCGGGATGTTCAAGTAGATGAAGATAATACACTCCGAGATTCACCCAAGTTGCACAAATCTGCTGAAGCCGTCTCTCTTCCTGTTTCTATTGGGGGTGTCACTATCAGTGTACCTTCTGAAGACGGTGACCAGAAAAATGACGATTCTGAAGATGTTGGGTTGACCGAAATTTTCAATGTTGCCTTCGACATTCTTGAATCAAATGTGAATTCACTTTTCAAAATATTCTGGAATCACTATTTATTACACACTCAATTCATTTTATTTATTTTTTTGCAGCCATCATTCTTCGATGTTGTACCTCTGAGTGCTAATTTAGCTCCAAATGCTGATCAATCAGATGCCATCCAAGTAAACTACAAAGTCATATAAATATTACTCATTAGCACATTATAATTTATATTATTATTGATTTTAACTATCCAGGCACCGATATTGCATACTTCTGCTTGTCGTGGTAATACCTTGCCAGAATCAACTGAAACTTTACCACTTGTGGAGCTCCAGGTTTTTTATTCTGATATACTAGTACTTTTTATTCTTAATATTGGAAATGATTTTAATTTACATTTGGATCTCAATATTTGAAATGATTTTAGTTTTATATGTGTTTTTACTAGTATTATGTATTGAGTATTAATTCTTTTTAGGGTGCATCCTACAATAACTATAAACTGACTGCCCATCCCAAACATTTTGTCATGTCACTTTATTTTTTCCATGTGATATTGTGGCACTTTTATTTATGTGAACTGTTTTCATATTTAAACAGGTTACTGAAAATGTTGATCTTGTTGTGCAAGACAAACAACCAAGGGCAAAACGTAAGGCCCGGTCACCTTCCCGATACACCCCAGGCTCTGATGCAATACGAAAGGGGAAGAAGGTCTGCTCTTTCCCAGTATTGTGCCCGTTCAGCCGTGATCCTTTTGCATTCTTCAAATTACCATCAGAAGAGATTGTTTTATATCAATTTATAATGGAAGGAGTTGTTCGAGGTCATCGCTCGTTTGCAAGATCAATCAAGTATCTGTCTGAATATGATAATAAGTTTCGTCTATTTTTGCAACCTGGAATTGAAATAGACAGTAAATCGTGGCTTTATCGCCTCCACGAACCAGGTCAATGGCTTGATGCCAGTGTAAGTTACCACATTCCTTTAAATAGTTTTTTTTTACTTACTTTTTTCTATTCTAATTACATACTTGATGGCACCGTATAAGAATCTCTCTGTCCAGAAACCAAACTTGTCACTATAGCACCATTTTCGCTATTATGATCCACTGTCATGTCATTGTTTGTCACTTCAGATTCTCTTGTTCTGAGGTTTGTGTCACTTATGATCTCCATTTCAGTTGTCTTCATTATTTGTACACATAAGGGGTATTTTCCTACTGCATTCAATTCCATACCTTTTAGATGCAAATAAAATTTGAGGCTACTGTCACCATCAACAAGTGTAGGTTCAAAGCCTAGATCAATTTGGTATGAAATGCAGGTAATATCCACATCAAGTTGAAGCCCTAACATGTCCCGTAACTCCTTAATCAAATCACAATATGAAGCCTTGGAGCCAAGTACAAGTCCATGTGTTGATTTTGAGACAAACTTTTTCTGAACGTTCCACCTTCCATCAAACATCACTGTAATCAAAATTTGTTCCATCTCTAGATTGGTTAGGTACACTAATTCGCAGTGACATGGTATAGGTACACAAATTCGCAGTGACACTGGTATAGGTACACAAATTCGCAGTGACACTGGTATAGGTACACTAATTCGTAGTGACACTGGTTCTGATACACAAATTCGCAGTGACACTGGTTCTGATACACAAATTCACAGTGACACTGGTATAGGTACACAAATTCGCAGTGACACTGGTATAGGTACACAAATTCGCAGTGACACTGGTATAGGTACACTAATTCGCAGTGACACTGGTATAGGTACACTAATTCGCAGTGACAATGGTATAGGTACACTAATTCGCAGTGACACTGGTATAGGTACACTAATTCGCAGTGACACTGGTTCTGATACACAAATTCGCAGTGACACTGGTTCTGATACACAAATTCGCAGTGACACTGGTTC